AGCTTCTTAATTTCTTTAAATAAATGTGCTGGGATTTTTGGGTGAGAATTGACATCTTAGCAACACTGAGTCTTCTGGTTCATGACCATGCTGTCATCTTTGCATTTTATCTAGCTTCTTTAATTTGTGTAAGCAGTGATTTATTATTTTTAGCATAGAAGTCTTATACAGATTTCATTAAATTTATCTCTAAACTTTTTACATTTTTTGATGCAGTTGTCAGTGGTGGGAGTATTGGTTTCCCAGGGCTGCTGAAACAAATGATCACACAGTGGGTGGCCTACAACAACAGAAATATCTTCTCTCACAGTTCTGGAGTCAAGAAGTTTGAAATCAAGGTGTTGGCAGGGCCACGCTCCCTCTACAGCTTCTAGCAGAGAATCCTTCCTTCCTTCTTCCAGCTTCTGGTTGCCTTGGCTTGTGGCAGCATAGCTCCAGTCTCTGCCTCTGTCTTCATGTGGCTGTCTTCCTGTGCATCTGTATGGCTCTGTGTCACTTCTCCTCTCTTATAAGGACACTCGTCATATTGGATGAAGGCCCACCCTGCTCCAGTGTGACCTCATGTTAAACAATTACATCTGCAAAGACCCTATTTCCAAATAAGGTCATGTTCACAGATACCAGGGGTTAGGACTTCAACATATCTTTTAGGGGAATACAATTCAACACATAACAATAGGGGTTTGTTTGTTTTTTTTTAATTTCCATTTCCATTTTGTTGCCGATGTATATAAATACAATTGATTTTTTGTATTTTGACTTTACGTACTTCTACTTTGTTAATTCACTGATTGTAGGTTTTGTTGTTAGTTTGTATATTCCTTTGGATTTTCTACGTGTAAAACATCCTCTTCAAATAAAGACATTGCATTTCTACATTTGCAAATTTTATTCCTTTCATTTCTCTTTCTTATCCTGTTGCACTGTAGCATCTACAGTACAATACTGAATAGAAGTGGTGACATTGATATTCTTAGCAATTAACTAAGTTAGAGGCATTTAATATTTTATGTTTAAGGCTTATGTTAACTGTAATGTCCTTTATCAGATTCTGAAAGTTTTCTTCTTTTCATAGTTTCCTGACCATTTTAACTGTGAATTAAGCTCACAATTAACAAATGCTTTTTTTGCACCTGTTGAGGTGAGCGTGATTTTTCTTTTTTAAGCTGTTACTATGGTTTATAACGGCAGTGAGTTTGGTTTTTTTTCAGTGGGTTTATGGTGTATTATATTGATTAATTTGAATTGTAAATCAGCTTTGGACTGCTGAAATAAACCTCACTTAGACAGGATGGATTATCTTTCTTACAGATTGTTGAAATTGGTTTACTAATATTTTGGTAAGGGTTTATATATGTTTTCACAAGGGATATCGGTCTGTAGTTTTCTTTTCTTGTGATGTCCTTGAGTTCTTCTTTCTTTTTTTTTTAATCAGAGTTGTATTAATCATATCAGACAGACAAAACTGTGAGTGTTTCCTTCTCATGTATTTTCTAATAGAGTTTGATAAGCTTGGTATTGTTGCTTCCTGAAGTGTTTGGTGAAAATCATCACCAAGCCTTCTAGTCCTGTGTTTTATTAATAAGTCAAGACTTGTGCTTCCAGCCCTGAGGGAGTAACAGGGTCTGGAATTATCCTCCTAGGATAATTAATAAATGTGGCTAAATTAGCGCTATAGTAAAGACTGTGCATGTTTTGCCCTAAAAGGGTTAAACAGAAGCGTCAAAAGGATTAAACTAATCCACAAATAACTGAAACAACTAGAAAAGAGGACAAAACTATCTTCAGATAAATTGAACAATAGATGACACAGGCCTAGATTCCTAAGAAAAGAAAAACAAATAAAATGAACCCTGCTTTAGTAGGAGGCACCTTCCAGACTGCAGTACAGAGAAGGGAATCCAGATAATCTGAAAATTTTACTGAACTGAGGGGACGAACATTGGAGTTTAGGGAGGTTGAGGTAGCTAGAATTTGCAGGGCACACTTCCCAAGAAGAGGGAGCTATGCAGAGAGTTCTCCAGATTTGCAAG